GCTATAAAGTAGTCGGAGCCGCCTATAGTTGGCTCATAAATTATGTGAATGCTGCCAAATTGTTATCGCAGCATTTGACACATGTGAAACTAACCGAAGCCCGTACATAATTAATGCCTAAGCTTGGAGATAGGCAAAGTTCAAGGTTGTCTGCTAGCCGAATGAGAGTTGGCTATAAACTAAATTTCGATGGCTTATACGTGTGCCGGACCGGAATGTGAAGGATGCGAATTTGGTGCATAACCCGAAATGAGTTGTAGAGTTTTGCATATGCTGATTCAGACTCAAAAGCGTGTACAATTTGAGTGTGCCAGAAAAATATGATGAGCAAAAAGGAAAGCCTTTTATTCTCACACACGCACACTACCACGCGTACGCACACGCACAATGACAATGGCAAACGAGACGCAAGAAACAACTTTTGTATAGCATACTTTTTAGCGAAATTATTTACATACAAATGCTGATGATGTTGATGAAAGTGGAAAGACGACAACGACAACAACAACACCACCACAGGCAATGCCAACTTACTGGCAGCGAGAAGGAAACCCAGGGACGAGCCGACAAGCAGACGCGCCCAAACGAGGACGTCGTCACGCCGTCGGGCTTGCTAAGGATCCACACGCGGGCACTTGAAACTATTGCGAGGGCGTCTAAAATGCCTTTGCTGCTAGTTTTCTGTTGCAAATACTTTTTCGGCATCATTCCGTTGCCGTAAAGAACCAACCAGGGGAGTGGCACAACTTGAGTCACTGCCTTTCAATCTGTCTGTCTACCCGTCCACCCACCCTTCTGCTTGTCTGTCTTCCTGTCCGTCTGTCTGTCAGTCTGTCTCGCTTTGCGTGTGTGTAATGAACAAATTTTGAGCGCGCAAATTTTCGCTTGTTACCATTTGATTAAGTGAAGTGCGTGTGCTTGGCCCCCTACACAGTAGCGCAGATAACTTTTATCTTTTTTTTTTCAAACAACTCAAATTAAATTACTAGAAAGATTCGTGTCGCCTGGGCCAATATGAAACAGCACTTGCAGAGACTATGCAAGGCCTGGGTCGATATACGTACAAAGATTTTAGAAACGAATTCAGATAGAATTTTAACTTTTATAGTAGACTATGACTACATTTAGTTTGGCATCAACAGTTAAATTCAAAACTTAACATTTCTTTTTGGCTTTTCATTTTAAAAAAATTACAACATTTTCTGGCAATGTGTGCAACGTGCGCCTTAGCACACAGCGTCCTGCAGAGCGGAATTCGCAAGTCCACGACTCGTTGCAGCTCCGCAACAGCCAAGTTTTTGCCTTTCAGTCGGGTCGAGCGTCTAAAGCCCACAGATACGAACAATCTGGAGCAGGCCTTCGAGTTAGATTCCAGTCCACAAAAGATTAATCTGTGTGGAGAAATCTATCGTGGCAATAACGGCAAGCCACATGTTTTTCAGGCGGTACGCAAAGCTGAAATTGGGGTAGCAGGTGATGACACATACACTAATGAATCGCAACCACCTCTGGGCAATCCAGATTTCATACGAGCAGCCAATGAGTTGGCCTTGAATAAAGCAGCGCCTGCACTATTACAGAATCGGGTAAGTTTAATTAGCTAGAAAGAGGTTAATTGATCGCATTGTAGGCTATCAAATATTATAAAATGGTCTGGCTGCATTTTTGAAGATTACTTTAGTAAGATTGAAATATTTGGGTCGTGATTGACGGCATAAGATTCGCATATCATCCTCGTTATCTCACTTTTCAACCCAGGTGCTAGGCGTACAGACACGTTCGAGCCTCGATGCATTGCACCTTGCCGCACAGTTTCTGTTTGAAAAGATGCAGTTCAATGTTTGCATGTTGCCGCGCCCTAGCTGTAAGCGGTGCGAACGCATATTCAAGAGCGCCGGCTTCACCTGTCACAGCTTTCAGTATTACTGCGAGGCAAAGGGTGAGCTGAATATCTATGGATTGGTCGCAGACCTGATGACCGCACCGGAGGGCGCCGTTGTGCTGCTTGATGCCTGTGCACAAAATCCGACTGGCTTGGATCCCAGCCTCGATGAGTGGAAGCTGATTGCGCATATTATTAAGTGCAAGAAATTGTTGCCGCTCTTTCATTTGGAATCGCATGGACTTGCGAGTGGGGATGCTGCACAGGATTGTTGGGCCCTGCGTTACTTTGTCGACAGTGGCTTCGATTTGCTCTGCGCTCAGTCGTTTGTCAAGAATTTCGGTCTACACAGTAAGCGAAAAGTGTTGCTAGCTCCAACTGCCAACTCACTAAATTAAATCGTTTGCGAATGCAGATGAGACCGTAGGTCAGCTAATGGTCGTGCTTAAGAATTCCATACAGCTGGAAACGGTGCGGGAACAGTTTGAGGCCATGTTGCTTGAGAGAAACGATAAGAGCTGCTCGGTGTTTGCTAGTCGTATTGTGGCCAAGGTACTGACTAACGCATCCTTGCGTCATGAGTGGTAAGACGATTGATAAAGGCAATTGTCTTTACAACTTTAAGCATTAACTCTTTGGTATTCCCTGTGAACAGGACTTTGTCGCTCCAAGAGATACATCAGCGTATGCAACAAATGCGCTTGGCCTTAAGCAATAAATTGGAGCTGCTTAAAACGCCTGGCAGCTGGGATCATCTAAAAGAGCAGACTGGTTCGCATCTATATACAAATCTAAAGATACCGCAGCTGGTAGAGCTTCGTAACAAGCATATTTATGTGCCCGATTCCGGACGCATCAATCTGGGCGCATTGAGTCCAAATAATGTCGATTTTGTGGCTGGAGCCATACATGATGTAATGCTCTCGATGCAAAGCGAGAAAGAAGCAAACAATAACATTTTGTCATGTCCATGGCCGTACGTGCAATGCCTTGAAGTTCCCACAACAGAGATGGCAAACAATTGATTTTGGAATATAAGATTATTTATTATAACATTCCAATTACAATATTGCACTAACTGAAGCTACTTCTCCTAGCCTAAATCACTTATGCGCCTGCCAAGGATGCTCGCACCGGAGTGTAAGAAGCAATAAAATTCAATGTTTCAAAGCTCAAGAGAAAGTTTTTTCTACTACTCCTTGGCAGTATGATGAAAAATGCACTTTGTAATTCTCGTCATAGTCGCACATGTCGTCGCACAGCACTTATAAACGTCACATTAGAGTCAGTTTCTGCAGCAAGAGACATAATGTTATTGCGAAGGGGCTGGGTGCGGATGGGGGTTTTGGCAACAGCTCGTTAAACTAGAGTTTAAAGGTTTTGACGTTGAGTGTACTTGCATTTATGTGTGTGCGACACGCATTTACTGTTATTATGAACTTATATGAGGGTCATATATTTATGAGTTGACATACTGCGAACATAAGGATTTAAATGTACAGGGAAATTTCAAATATTTAAGAGCAGCTTTATTAAAATAGTTATACAACCGAAACAAGCGAAAGCGTATAGTTACCATTTTTTAATTTTTAATTAAAAGTGTTTTCACATGCACAAAAAGCAGCTGCATTTTTTGATTTCGAAAAGTAAGAAACAAGTTCTCAGTTTATTGCATAAAATATTCAGCTTTTTTTCCGTGTATGCGCAACAGATTTCGTTTACTATGCAAGAAGGCTGGCGAGGAGGTCAACTTTAAAATGTGGCCCATGTCATATGTACATAAGTTGTTAGGGGCTTGACACACAACTGTTGCGCCCCAAATATATTTAACCTAAATCGAACCCTTTTTATGTGCTGCTGCCCGCATTGCCCGATGGCGTATTTAACCGCATGCGCTATAAATCTCGCAACTGAGGCAGTTCCAGGGCAGAGAAAAATAGAGTGATATACATTTTTTATGCCAATTCGCGTATTTGCTATTACTTTCTGGCAAAACATCCCTTGAACCCTCTGGGGGATTCGCTGGCCCGAGAAGTAGTCGCTGGCATGCAATTTGTCAGCACTGCGAGCGCCAGTCATTGTCAGGGTTAACCCTGTGCCTTAAAGCGTTCTAATGAACGTCATTGACGAACTCAACTGCCCTTTACAAGTCCACAGCGATTGGCGTAAAAACATTTCCCCAATTCCTTTTCAAAGCTTTTCAATTCAATTCAATCGGTTTGACAGTATCAAAGGCAATAAAACTGGTATGGGTCAATACTATATAGTATATGTTCAAGTTGTTGTATGTTTGACACAAACGTGTTTTTGGTATTCTCTCTTTTTTCAAGTGTGCGTGCGGTTTTTATCATTGATTGAACATGTTAAGACGCCTTGAAGACATCAAATTTACACTTGAAGTGTCTCAAGCGACAAGTGACCCAGTTCGGGGCACAGAATATGGGCGTGTTCTCATTCTACACCCTCTTAACTTTTGCGCTCAATTCGTGAAGTGTGAAATGAATTTAATTTGTGTGGTTTTTCAAGTAAAATACCATATCCTGCAAAGTGACGGAAGTGAATGGAGTTTCATGTAAAACAAATATTAAATCAGTTGCTGCAATTAAACTTGATTTGATTTAAAAACTTTCTGAACAAGAAATATATTTTAAAGTGTTCAAATTTTTACTTTTTATCTAAGTGTTATTTAACTCCACATGTAATTTGATTTATATATGAAAATTTAGCTGACATTGTTTAAATTTTTAATTATTATTAGCAATAAAACTTCCAAAAAAAGTATTTATTTACTTATTAAACTAAATTTGTAATTTATTTCGGACTTTATTATTTTATTTTATATAAAATTAAACGTGCTCGGCCAAAAAACGCGCAGCGGCAATGCTGCTGTGTTGCTCTGCTCTGTTTGTTTTAAATGTATGAAATAGATTTATATTTTTTGTACATTTAAATAAGTATATGTGTGAAAGACAGATTATTTTCGTGAATTAAAGATTTTGTAGACAACTCGCAGCTATCAGAAAAAGCGCATTTTTTTACCATCAGCTGTTCGCAGATTTTTTCGCAATTTTTATGCATTTATGTTATATTTTTGCAAACACGTTCCGTGTCTGGTGTCTTGTTGCACACGATTTTTGGTAATCGTTTTACCGCATTTTCGTGGTTTCACATACTTTGCTCAGTGCCCGCACTTTGGTTTCGCAACGATCCGACCGCAGCGACATGCCAATTGTGGCAAATGTTGTGGATTTGCGCAGTTGGCCGCGGCTCAAGGGAAGCGAGCTTAAAACACGTTGAAAGGCGCAGCACAGATTGTCGTACAGAAATGTGGCAGCAAAATATAAGGTGGACTGCATAAATGCAGCAGCTAAAAAGTCTTTTTGGTAGACTACATTTGAACTACGGTATTCACAGCTCTAAACAAGTACGTACATACGTACATGAATACCTTTTCAGCAAGCGCACTAAAAGGGTCTTGAAATATGTTTACCCATTTAGAATATGTTGTTATTGTCCTGTGTCACGTTTCATCCTTTAGCAATGGCTCGTCGTGAAACTCACACTCATCCTCATTGAGTTACTCACATTTTATGATTCTTTTGACTTTCCACGCCTCGCTTGATTACCTGCCATTTTTTACGCTGTCATTTTATTTTTGCGCTTTTATTTTCTGTTTATACACTTACGTCTTATTTTGCTCAGCACCTAATTTGTCAATTGACGCTGCTTTTATTCGCATAGTTACTGTTGATTTACCCTCTAGTTTAAGTGGCAATTCAATTTAAAACCTCAATTTGGAGTTGTACTAAAAATTGTGCTTTTAATAGGCTTTTTGAGAGAAAGCAATGCTCACAAAAGCAGGCAATACTATAAAGTATAGTTAGTTTTCTCAATGGTATTGCCGCATTTATTTGCCTCGCAAAAAACTAACATGTTTACTTTCGTCGAATTACATTTTCAAACGATTCTTTCTTTAGAGCTATATGTAGTATGGGAAGACTCGTAAATGCCAAGTTTGGCCAAGATATCTGAAAGCTTGACAAAAACGTTCCAGGCAAGAGTTTATTCTTCCTATATGGCAGCTATATAAAATAGAGATCCGATGTTGATAACATTCTCTTAAAATGTAAGGAACATACTGAAGGTAATAAATGTGCATTAAACTATATTATTTTGTATTCTGTTACATATTTATATAATATTCGAGCTGGCTTATTAATTTGTGAAATCAAGACAAGTCGCCCGACTTTATTTGTGCTTTAAACTGTCAATGCCGAAAGTGAATTTAAGGTCATATCCAGCTGTAAGGTTGGCCATTTTTAAGGGCACTTCACTTCACGTGAATGTAATTTGAAGCAGGAACAGGATGGGTGAATAAATTGGTTTCTGTCGTATAAAGCCATTACTTGGCACCCAGCACACAAAGGGCCACACTGTAGGTATGAATTTTAATATGTGTGCATATTTATATATAAAATATTTCACAAGTTGACAGGAAAGGGAACGTCAACAAAAACCAAAAACTTATCGACACTTGGGGCTGGTGCCTTTCCAGGTGGGAACAAAGGGTTGTTGCCATTGTCGCCACATGGCTAAAACTTTATATTGAATTTTAAGTTCAAGAACAGTAACTACTTTGCTTACTTTTAAGGTTTAGTTATAGTTGAAGGTTCAAATATTAACAATAATAATAGCTGGATCAATTTAAACTAATTCTAGTCGTGAACTTTAAGGAAGGCGCGGAACATAATTATAAATGTAGCACAAGTTTTGTCGAAATGTTAAGCCAAATTTGAATCAGTAGAGTAATACGTGACTTGAAGGACAAAGTTTTGTTGATTTAAATTTTAGAGAAAGCTAACTGCCAGACTGAGACGCTAGTATTAAAGTGGTTTTTAGTTTCACTCTCGTCTTAGGCCAATAGCCCATGTTGGTCACATAACAAAGAAAACTTTTGCAACTTAAATTCAAGCACACTTACGCTGAAGTATTCCAGCACGAAGAAGCAGGCACATAAGCTGTCGTTAGTCCATTAACCAAACACCTATTGAGGTGATTGCGCACTTTCAACTCGTTGACACTGGCGTTAGCAAGGTGAGAGTTAAATTTCAGAAGGGCCACGGGCTCATTAGCAACATCAGAAGTGCGTTTGGCCTGAACCTGACGGCAGCTAGGGCCAACGCGTCGCTATCCCAGTTAGTTGGAAATGTCAGGCAGCCACAGCTAAATACTTGATCCCAGCTAAGGACTGTGTTAGCCATAAATTCGCTTTTGCTAACAATAAGGATATTAGATGTCACTGTCGTCATGTCTTGCTTGTTCGTTGCTCGGAGTCCACAGTTCAGCAATGCAATTTCCATTGCAATGCATTTTCCTTCTCGATTTTCCCTACAAACAAGTAAAATGAAACGGCAATTTCTTGGCCATTTTCATATTGTAGTCATTGCTGTGCGTGTGCTTGTGTGTGTATGTGTGTGTGTGTGTGTGTGAATTCATTGTTCATTGTGTGCACGTACTTTATTCATCTTTTATCCTTCTTGTTATCTGTTCTGTTCTACTGCAGCATTTCTTGGATTAAATTAAATTCAAGCTATGTGAAATTAACAAAACTGTTGTTAAGTGCAGCCGGTTTGATCATTGAATCTACTCTACCTGATACATTGTACCAAACACACACTGAATATCGATTGAAGAAACGAATTCATTTATGAATAACAAGATTGAGTGCTCTAGTTCTAAGTGCCCGTTTAGGAGATACCCTGTAATCATGTACCCTACATATGTAAGAGCTTAACTCGATATCGTTTCTGGGGTCGTTGCGATATATAAATATATTTATGGATTCGGATATACGGTCTTTAGCCTATTAAATACATTTACTCAAATCTATTGTACCCTCATTCTCACGAATTTTAATGGTTATACGGTACAAAAAGTAAGCAAATGTATACCTCAATTTTCCTATATAAATCATGCCTCTTACATGCGTGCTTCCTGCCTGTCTTGCCAGTGTCCCCAATCCCATTTCCAATGTGCTGCCCTTCCGCCCCTGGGAGCGCCCATTGTTGTTACACATGTAAATAACCCAGAAGGAGAAACTTCATATGCATATCCCAAATACATAAGTAACTACATATGTATGCTGGTTGGTATTATGTATTTTTTGTCTTTTGGGAAACCTACGCACTGTTAACAAAATATTTCAACTTCGCTGCCTTCTGCATGCAATGCGTCCGACTCGGTTTGAATGTACGGGCCATTGGATCCGTGCAGAGCCAGTGTGGCAGTCGGCTCGAGTGTTTGTAGTTGCACGGCTGAAGGCGGAAGGAAACAGGCCGTACAGAGCACAACACACAGCCGGTCACAGGAAATTATTTATATATTATTTTCTGCATCTTTTTTGTTTATTTTGTTGCTGTTGCTGTTTTTTTTGTATGCTCGTTTGCTTGGCAAGATTTAATATGCATTTTAATCAAAATAAAAAGTCGTTACCAAAATGTGGTAATATTAAAAAGTACATCGAGATGAAATCCCACTAACAAAGCCACGCACCGAATACAAAATATAAATAATAATTTCCGCTGGCGACCGCAGGACACAACATATCCTTCTTTTCCACACAACAAAAAAAAAAAAAATAAATAAAAAAAAAAGAGGAAAATCCTCGACAACAGCTGCGTAAAGTGCGTTCAATTATTTTTTTGCTGCTCGTCTTTTTTTTTTTTTTTGGTTTTGTCGTCGCTTCTTACTGCTGCTCTCCTTGCGCGCAGATAAACTTTTATCAAGCTTATAAGTTAAAAAAGAACCAAAATTTTTGTGTTCACTAAGAATTTTAAGCGAAACGCTTAAACGTTACCCACAAAAACGAAAGTCTCTTGGATAGCTAAGTATGACAAGGCATGTCGCCGACTCTGAAACAATATTCAATAGTTAACAATTTCTCCAATGTTTCAAATTGTTTCGAAGATTCAACTCGGTTGAGTGGGAGGTACATTTTTATTTTGAATCAGTTCTAAAATGTGAATAATATATTTGTTGTGCATTTTATTCAATGTACTTTCTTATATATGTATTTATATTTTTGAATGCTTTGGCGTTTCACGTGCAGTTAATTGACTATATGTACATCTAATCATATAATTCTCTCTTGACTTCGCAGCAAACATCTTACATGTATTCCACATTATTAACGCTCGTGTGACTTTGACACCATCAAATTGGGTCGTCGGTTGTGGTTGGCTCACATTCGGCTACCCATTATGGTTTTGCCTTGTTAGCTTGAAGAAATGAAATAGGTTTGTATTACCTCAATGCAGGCGTCCCACATAATACAATTTGTTCCGCAACATTGATTTAATCCTTTTCTTCTGCCTCACCGACACGCACACACACGCACACACAAAGACTCTATGGCTGTGTAGTCGTTCGGCACAATTTCTTAAATTTTCCGTTGGTTTTGTTGCCATTTTCCGGCATTTTTCGTCCTTGAATTTTTTGCGCTTCTTTCTTACACATTACCATAAATTCCTTTTGGTTTTCCCTCGCTTAGAATTCGGTCCCATTTGAGCTTTCAATACATTTATATTTGCATTTACTGATTTGAAAACGCTGAAACGTACTTCCAGCTGCTTTCCGCACATTTAAAATTCCTTGCTCTTGCGTTTATCCGGCAAGGTAGAGTCTGGGCTCGGGGAGGAAGAAAATTATATTTTTTATGTTAGCTGGCGGTAAACAATATGTGCGTAAGTAATCTGTGTTGACTTAAGAATCCACTGATATTCCATTGTATTATGTTTTGTTTAGTTTCATTTTTTTTTCAATTTATTTGTTGAAAGAAATTAACGGAAACAGAGCAACTAAAAAAGTTGTTGTTTTCCTTAAGCTACCCACCATTCTTGGAAATATTCTTGCGTTTAGAGTGGGAGAACATAAACTTTATGAAAAAAACAAATCATATTGTTAGAGGTTGACCTTGTAAGCATATATTACAATTCAAAAATTTTTAAATGTAAGCTAATCATTTCCTAAATAAATAAATGTTTTAATATTTGTCAACAAGAACTTAATGCACCTCGATCGACTCCACAAGCAAATCGTTTACTTCCGCCAACTCAGGCGGCAGATGTCCCACGACATTGGCCAAATCTGAAACGCGGCACGCGTATAGATAACCTTTTCTGAGATCTGCAGCCTGCAGCCAGCGTAGGAACGAGGGCACAAGTTCCAGATCCACAGGGTTACAAATCATATATGATTCCAAGATCTGGCTGAGTGTGGCGCTCGGATTGTTGACACCCACGAGCGCCAAGCCACGACTCGGATATTTTTGGTCGATAAGCAAGCGGTAGTAGAGAAGTGGTACAGCCAGCACGCCGTTAGACTTGACATCTGTGGCTAGGTGGAAGTTAGTTTGGGCCACGTTTGGGAGCTGCATTACGCCATAGGTGCCCGTATAGACATTCACGGAGAGACCTAAGCGAGCCACAAGGCGACGCGTTGTATCCTCCACAGTTGCCCAATGGCCACCATTGAAGCTCTGCCACTGAGGAGCCGCATTTAGGTAGTTAAAGCTGGTGCGCTGCTGACTAGCATAAATCAGATCTGCCTTGGCCGCCAGGTGTCCGCGTGCCAGGTAGAGGCCCGCCTTTAGAAAACTGTCTCTGCTGGCGTCGTCATCAGGATGCTGCCATAGTTGGGCCAACCGTTGCTGCTGGTGTGCCTGGGAGTAGAGACGGTCCATGTCGTAACCAGAAAATTGGCCGGCAGCGCTGAATTTAACGCGTTTCACTTGTCGCTGAAAGTGCTCGTTGGCTGGCAGCAACTGGTAGGCCGCGTAGTGTGTTCGCAGCTGGTCCGCATCGTGGCATAGCTCCATGGTGCGCACAAATCGACCAGCGCTGATGTTATAGCCCACACGGTAAATGCGAGCCGGTGAAGCGTAATCACCATCCCCGCACGGCTGTTCCATACGCTCCACAACGTAGGATAGTGGATAGGTGCAGGAAAAATCTCTCAGCTCGTATTTTGTACCCGCCCAATCAAAGGTCGTGTCATGTAGGCAGCGCGCATATATGGAACTGGGAGTGGACGTGGAACTGGGAGTAGACGAAACATTCTCATCGCTGTGGACAATCGCAAATGAGTGACTACAATAGAGCTCGATGCTGGCGCCACGCGGTATCTGCAGCTGCCCCTCGTCATTGGGCAGCCAGTAGGTGTTTGTGCCGGGATGCAGGTAAAGCGGCTGCAGATTGGAGAGCGGCAAATCCTTTTGAATGTCCAGCGTGCAAGGGCCCCCTAAAATGAAGGGGCGTGAAAATATTTTATATTGATATTTTCTCAGTACACATTGGTTTGTTACATGTAAGACTCAATATCTTGACAAAAACTCAGCGAAGCTTTGTCTCTTATTGTGTTTTAGTTTTAATTTTAAATTTAAAGAAAGCTTACACACAAAATGTTTTGTATTTATATCGGTACATATGCACTTACCTCGCTGAATTGTCTCTTCCAAATGAACTTCCTCAAGATCTTTGATAATTTGACCCACTTCTGCCGCTGGCTTTTTTGCTTCGCGCGCTTGAATCTCGATCGTGGACACGATCAACAACAAAGTTAGCAAAAATGTATGCATGGTCAACAGCGGCAACGTCTCGAAGTGTGTCGTGCGGCGTCTGGCCGCTAACTAAATAATCTGTGGCTTATACAGGTGTTTTTCTGTTTACATTTTGAATGATAAATTCATTTGCTATCGCTCTCTTTCTCTCAATCCATCTCTCTTTCTTTCTCTCTTTAAGTACACAGCCGGTTTTCGTGCTTCGATGTGCCCGAATTACGTAGAGAGCGTGTTGTGTTGTAAATGTTCTTAAAATTATGGGTGTGCTTACAGTGTCTTTAAGCTTGGCTTATTGTTTTATAAAGAATATAAATATTTCTATTCAATTCGCGTTCATTAATATTTGATCTTGGAATTAAAGGTTAACAATTCAAAACTCGGCCAGTTGCTGCACTTTCACTCTGTTTATTTCATAAAAAAATACATTGTTTTTTAAATTGGTGATATAACGCATATCAAGACACATATTTCTTTATACATATCTTAAAAATTGAAAAAACTGTCTGATTCCGTTTCGTTTGTGCGTTGTCTTGGTCTGCGCGAGCTGCTCGCAGTGCTTATACTGCTTACAGTAACACTTGCATCCCCAAAGGCACCATTTGAGTCTTGGTTAAGAGACGTTTGAGTCATGTAGGCAGCGGATCCATAATCTGACGAAATGTTAAGTCCTTGGCCCTGTTTCCAGTCAGCTTGCATAGTGTAGGGGCGACCGTTGATCGAGTAGGAAGATTTTTGCATTGCCTGTCTACCATTTGCAAATCCAGAAGTCTGGGCTGAATATTGAACGCCAGGGTTATTGTTGTTGTTCCATTGTCCAGGGTTGCCACCCAATTGACCCATTCCTCCTCGTCCACCCATTTGTCCCATTCCATTGCCACCCATTCCATTTCGACCCATTCCCATACCACCGTTCCCGTTAGGCCCATTCGGACCGTTAGGACCCATTCCCATACCACCTTGTCCCATGCCCATTCCGTTCCCACACATTCCAGCATAACCGATTCCATTCCCTCCCATCCCACCATTGCCACCTCTTCCACGCATTCCATTGCCACCCATTCCATTTCCACCCATTCCATTGCCACCCATTCCATTTCCACCCATTCCATTGCCACCCATTCCATTTCCACCCATTCCATTGCCACCCATTCTATTGCCGCCGCCCATTCCATTGCCTTGCTGTCCAGCTTGTCGACGTTTGTCAAATCCGTTCACACTACGCTTCTTGCGATTGGACGTGTTCAAATTGCCATTCATATCATTTGAATTCATTCCATTTCCATTAATTCCATTTCCATTCATTCCATTTCTATTTCTGCCATTGCCGCTCATTCCATTTCTATTTATTCCATTACCATTCATTCCCGTTCCATCGTTAAAGTTTCCACACATTCCATTTCCCCTAGGACCCATTCCACCAGGACCCATTCCACCTGGACCCATTCCCCCAGGACCCATTCCACCATTTCCGTTGCCACCTCTACCACTCATTCCATTGCCACCCATACCCATTCCATTGCCACCCATTCCCTTTCCACCCATTCCATTACTGCCGATTCCATTACCATTTCTACCCATGCCCATCCCATTGTCGCCTCTACCACCCTTACCATTTCCACCCATTCCGTTTCCACCCATACCATTTCCACCATTTCCTCCGCCCATTCCGTTACCCATCTGCCCAGCCTGTCGCCGTTTGTCGAATCCGTGAAGTGATCGTCTACGTCTTTCTAGTGAAATACCTGGAATCAATTATCATATTGGGTTTTATAGAACAATTTTAATTTTGAACATACGGGTGATTTTAACTATAATTTCTATTTATTATTAAACTTTTTACGGATCAGTAGATTTTAATGGTATTTAATTGGATTTTTTGCAACACTGATTATCCATATGAGTTGTAATCATTATTATTGTTGACGTAATTGTTATTGTTGTTGTTGTTGTAGTAGTCGTAGTTAGGACTTTGCGTTGTGTATGGGTTATTGTAAGTTGGATAAAGCCCGCCTGGCCCATAATATTGATTGTAGCTGTAGCCGACGCCAGCTACACTCACCACTCCAATAGGTAAAATGACAACTGACATCGGCGGCATTATAGTATATTGGGTTGGAGGCATAGGCATTGCCATTGGCATTGGCATGGGCAATGCTGGAGGATAATACACAGGAGCTGGAAGGGGTCTCGTTATCGGCATTGGTATTGGCATAGGCATGGGATAAGGTATTCGTCCTGGCATAAATACTTGTCGTGTGGTAACATTATGTAGTGCTTGAGATGATTCTAAATCCATGTCAATGAAGTCTGGAGAATCTGGGAAGATCAATTGCCAAAAGAAAAAGAGAGACTGGTCAAGCGAATAAATTCTTATGAAGCAGTGCCCGCAAATGGCAGATTCACATTGATGTTATAATAGTTATAGTTGGGCGTTGGATTATAGTAGCCGGGATAAGCCGAAGTGTATGTTGTTGTCTGACGACCCAATTGCGAGCCTCTGCCATAGTACAAATAGGTCGGATAGACCAGACTGATGGACATATACGGATTCAACTGAGGCGGTGCTTGTCGTGGCTGTATGGGGGACAGTAATTGACGTGGCAATGGCGCTGGGACAGCACCTAGTGGTAACGGTAACGGCATTGGAAGCTGTGATTGTGGAGGGTACAAGACCTGGGGTGAACGTCGAAGACGCATTCCAGAAGAGTCTGGCGAGTAGAAGAAGCAGAAACATAAACCACTTTAACCCCTAAACGGTTATATAAAGCAAATAGTTGCTAGTTGATGCGGATGGCCTAACGAATCTAGCAAGCGGATAGCTTTGTGCCAGTCTGGGATAGCAATTGAAGTAACAGGGCGGTGATGGAGACATCAACTGCGGCCTGGAAGCGGGATAAGGCAGCGCAGACCTTGAGGCGGGCATGTAAGTTGAGGGCGCATTGGTGCAGGCATATGGATAGTAGGGACTGACAATGCAGGGCTGTCGCCAGGGTTGGCTATTGAAATTGGGATTGGGGTTTGGCATGGACTCCTGTGTGCCATCCTGTACAATGACCAAAACATTCGCCTGTCTCTGATCTGCATGACTGGCACCTGGATCAGCGCCTGGCGCACCCTCGAGGAGCTCAATGCCACTGTCCGTATCTGTGTCCGGTTTAATATAAAGTTGTTGGTTCAGATGGAGCGTGCTGGTGCTGGGACTAGAGATGGGTGCTCTGATGCTACGAGTGTTAGCTGTGGTGGATGTGGTGTCGATCGTGAAGCGATTTAATTGCTGATCTGAAACGGATCAGTAAAAGGTTTGCCGTGAGTGTGTGCCGATGAAGGAAGTGAGATTCAAACGGAATTTACGCACCTTGGCTAAACGAACGCTCCACGCACTTGGGATACTGGCCGCAGTGCTCGCCATCTTGTTGATCCTTTTCGCAGGCCACGTTGGCCAAAACACATCTTTCAGCAGAGGCACAGATTATGTCGCGACAATCGCGTCCAAATTCTGTCAAATTCAATCTAGTTAAGAAACGCTTCACTGTTCACAAACGATCACTTACTTCTATAGGCATTGACATGGGCTGTTATGCCCACAATCATGGCCAATATGCAACAGGCAACATAGCCAATTTGCCACTTAATAAACATGACTCAGATATTTGTTAACTTTTGTTTTCGTAACTGAAGTCTGCTCTCATTGTGGGCTCCATTTTATATCATTTTTGTGTTATGCTTGAATTCTTTTGTACATTTCGCGCACAACTTATTCAAGCGAAGCTTACCAAATTTAATTGAAAATAACTGATTAATTATGGCAATCCTGATAGCTATGGGTTATTTAACGGAATACTCGAACTTAATTATGAAATTATTTTGATTTAAAAATTAATTAAAACCACAAACATTTTGTTGACTTACAGAAAAATTTGAAAAAAATCAAATGTCGTTGACATGCAGTAAAGCCCATTAAACGAAATTGGTAGTGGGAGATAAAAAAACATACATATTAAGAACTACTATTGTTTACATTGCAATACAATGTCTGATTTGTGCTGATAAGCAATGTCAAAGTCATGGCAAATCGGATGAGCTGAGTGGACCTTCGGCGACTAAGGTGAAACGTGTGGCACACGGGCACATTTGCGTTGGTTATAAATTCTGGTAATTCCAAAATGGACATTATCAATTGGAAAACAAAAAGCGCTTATCGTTCATTATTTATTTCTACTTTATTTATTGTATGCTTAGATTATTTAATTTGTTCAAATTTGTGATACGGTTTGCTTAAAGTTAAAGTTAATATTTCAGATTTTACGTCGAAATACCTAATATGCCATTCGTTTGCAGACTCTCCAATGGCAAATCTTTGACAACTTCTATGAAGTCTTCTACAGTGCAGGCATACGAATAACCCTTCTTTAGATCTTCCTTGGTCCAGCTAATCCAGCTGATTTGATCACCAATGTCTGGGCAGATAACGTAGTCTTCCTGAATCTCCTGCAGGCTAATATGCGGATTGTTAACGCCCAACAGCACAATGCCCTTGCGACTATCCCGATCGATAATCACACGGAAATATAACGCGGGCACTGGTATTAGACCATTGTTATTCACATCAAAGTCCAGATAGAGCTCGTGGGGCACGCCCTCTGCATCCGGCAGCGTGGAGACGCCCCACGTGCCTGTATAACAATCCACGGTAATGTTCTCATCGGCAACAAACTTCCTCACGCTATCCTCGATGCGCTCCCAGTTGCCCGCATTGAAGGTCTGCCATTGGGGCGCGGCATTCACAAAGAAGAAGCTCGCCTGCTGGGCGGCACCAAAAATGTAGTCCGTCTTTGCGGACAGGTGGCCCCTGGCCAGATACACGTTGCCGCTAACATTGAAATATGGCGAGGCATCCATGCCCAGAATTTCGCTGATTGTGATGTTCTGCTGCACCTGTGTGTACTTGCCGTTGACGTCCTTGCCGCCATAAAAGTCACCAGTTATAAAGCTGGGCCGGCTAACAGATCGCTGATACTGTGCACTGCTGGGCGTCAGTACATGGTGCACATAGCGTGTTACCTCTTCCAGCTCATTGTGGCATACATCGTACGTTTGCAGGAAATCGTCGTATTCCGCATTGTTGGCTAGCTGGAAGCCTACCTCCAACAGATTGGTGCCGCCATTGCACTGGCGATTTGTGCGTCGGGCTGTGTAGCTTGGCCAGGAGGTGCACACAAACTCGTTGATCTGGTAGACACTGCCAAGCACCAGGAAACTCTCGTGTTGCCAGCAGCTGGCATTTAGTTGAGCATAGCCCGCGAATTGTCCCTGAAAGCCCCTTGAGCCGCTGCAATGCAGCTCAACTGTCTCTCCGTGCTTCAGCTCCACAAGACCCTGCGTATTGGGCTGCAGATATTGTGGCGTATTCTGTGCGTCACGCAGAACAAAAAGCGGAGCTGGATCGTTAAGATCGCCGTTCACGCGAAAGTTGCACAGCTGCTGGGGCTGCCCTTCGTCGAATTCAGTTACACCTAGCAAGCCTGTGGTGTGTAGCTGATCCAGTGGCAGATCCTTGACCACAGCAGTAAAGTCTTCCACAGAGCATGCGTAGGCATAGCCATTCTCGATCTGCGCTTTTTCCCAGTCTAGCCAATCCAGCTGTGCACCCACATCCTCACACACAACATATTCCTGCAGAATCTCGGAAAGGCTGGCATGTGGATTATTGGCCACAACCAAGGCAATGCCCTTGCGACTCAGCTGATCGATGACAATGCGATATACCAGCCGAGGCACAGGCAGCTGCTGTGCGCTTGCATCCAGATAGATCGGCGTCTGTTCGCCGGTGGCACTTGGCAATGTGGACACGCCCCAACTACCTGAATGCACGCTGACATTCAGCGCCTCATTGGCCACAAATTGGCGCAGACTACGTTCCACAGCCAGCCAGTTACCGATGTTAATGCTGCGCCACTGTGGCACCGCATTTACATAGAAGTGGGTGGCACGTTGCGCTGAGCCGTGCACAAAATCTTGGCGAGCAGCGAGTTGTCCACGTGTTAGATAGAAGTCGCGACTGCTGTCCAGGTACTCACTCGCGTCTAAGCCGAGAATATCGCTGAGCGCCTCAAGCTGATGCGATTGACTGTAGAACACATTGACGTCCTTGCCAGCATAGAAGTCGGCACGCAGATAGCCCGGCTGTGCCACGTTCCGCTGATAGGCAACATTGGCTGGCGTCAGCTCGTAGCGTGCGTAGCGTGTTATCTGTGCCTGCTCATCATAGCAGAGCTCCAGCTGCGTTAACAGGCCGGCGGCCACATTGAATCCAATCTTAAGTAGCTCAGTGCCGCCCTCGCAGGGGTCACCAGTGCGCACGGCTTCGTAACTGGGCCATGTTTGGCAGCTAAATGCGCCTATCTCTACATTCAGGCCTTCTGCCTCGTACATCTGATTGCCCACACATCGTGCCGTTAGTGCGGTATATCGATTGAAGGGCGTGGCCAGCGCTGCTGTGCAGTGCAAATTAATGCTGGATCCATCATCGACAATATAAATACCCGATTCAGTGGGCAAAAGCCAACTTAGTGCGCCCTGTGGCGTAAGCAGTGGGGCAGGATCTCTAAGATCGCCATTGGTGCTAAAGTAGCATTGATCGGGATTAGGAGTGGGAGACGGACTAGCAGTTGGGGTGACCGGTGCACCGGTTGTTGCAGTTGAACTTGATGCTGTGCTGGAGGATTCGGTAGAGCTTTCCGGCGGAGTTGTAGGCGCTGCAGTCGTTGAGACTGTCGGAGCGGCGGTGCTAGATGATTCGGTAGAGCTTCCTGGTGGCGTTGTCGACGGCTCCTCAGTGGTGCTGACTGTAGAAACCGTGCTAGGATACTCGGTGGAGCTTACTGGCGACGTTGTCGTGGGCTCCTCAGTTGTGCTGACTGTATAAACCGTGCTAGGATATTCGGTGGGGCTTGATGGCGACGTCGATGATGGCTCCTCAGTGGGGCTCTTAGTAGAAACGGTGCTAGGATCCTCGGTGGTACTTGCAGGCGACGTTGTCGAGGGCTCCTCAGTGGTGCTGACTGTAGAAACGGTGCTGGGATATTCGGTGGTGGTGCTTGACTCATTATCCAGGCCAAGTATTCCATTCGTGTGCAGATCATCAAGCGGCAAGTCCTTAACAACTTCTGTGAAATCCTCCACAGTGCAAGCATATGAAAAGCCCTCATGCAGATCCTCTTTAAGCCAAGAAACCCAACTCAGCTGATGTCCAATATCTTCGCACACTGTGTAATCACTTTGAATTTGTTGCAAGCTGACATAGGGATTGTTAACACCCACAAGAACAATGCCCTCACGGCTGGCACGATTAATAATGACACGGAAGTATAATTTGGGCACTGGTATCAGACCATTATTGTTCTCATCAAAGTCGAGATAAAGTTCACGCTCAATGCCATCGATGTCGGGCAGCGTGGAGACGCCCCAGGTGCCGGTATAGCAGTCAACTGTCAAATTCCGATCGGCCACAAATTTGCGAACGCTCGTCTCAATACGCTCCCAGTTACCGCCATTGAAGCTCTGCCATTGCGGGGCCACGTTGATGAACAGAAAGGTAGACATTTGTGCCGCACCGAATATCTGATCCGTTTTAGCAACCATGTGGCCGCGAGCTAAAATGCGATCTTCGGTGTAATTAAAGTAGGGCGAGGCATCCATGCCCAAAATCTCGCTAATTGTAATATTTTGCTGGACTTGTGTGTACTTGGTATTAACGTCCCGCCCGCCGTAGAAGTCCAGCTCTACGAAACTCGGCCGCGCCACACCATGTTGGTAATCGTAGCTAGAGGGATACAGCACATGGTGTACATAGCGTGTGACCTCGGCTAGCTCATCATGGCAGACATCGTAGGTTTGCAGAAAGCCATCATCATCCAGCTGAAAGCCCACCTTGACCAGATCAGTGCCACCATTGCACTGACGCCCGGTGCGCAGCGCCGTGTAGCTGGGCCACGCAGCGCAGCTAAAGTTGGCAAATGGATAGATCAGATTGTCGACCAGGAAGTATTTTTGCTGCAGGCACTGTACAGTAAGTTGTGTGCGATTTTGAAAGGGTGCTGCAAAGCCAGCACCCGGGCAGAACATGTCGAGCAGTTCGCCATTGGTTAGACGCACTGTGTCCGTGGGATCGGGCACGATTAGCTCGTAAAAGTCATGTCGCGCGAAGAGCGGAGCAGGATCATTGAGATCACCGTTTACGCGAAACTCACAATCTCCAAACACGGGAACACCCTGTTCACCCTCAGCGTAGGGCAACACGCGCGGCAAGTGACGACTAGTCGCGGAGCTGAAGCTGAGCACCAGCTCCAGGATTAAGATCACAGTCACGTAGCACTTCATAGCACTACGCCTGAGCTAGTTATGCCAAACTTTTCGCTTGTTAAGAACGTTCTTATGTGACTAGCACATCGTCATGACTTCAATTGTCGAAATTATCGTTATCTTAACTTAGCAGCCAGCGCACTTATTTATGACAGTTGATTATAAATTATGAACAGCTCAGTTTAAATAGATATGTATGGCCGCATTATGATTATGAAATTCGGTTACGAGTTTAACTCTTCCGTACGATTTATTTATAAAATTCTTAACCACTTAAAAGCGGACAGCTGTTCAATATAATTAGCTTTAGCAAAATTCTTGTCAATAACTTATCAATCATTGAGAGTACTTATGTTGATCAGCGTTGGCTTATGAGATTTGCTTAGCACGGCGATAGAAGCTGAGTAAAGCCAAGAGGGCAATCAAATGTCTGATATCGGAGTAAAGTGTTCTACCTTAAGGTCGATATTAGTAGACTTCCTAATTTATATTTTCGTCTTAGACGTTATAAATTCTTATCACACGGTTCTTATAAATTTTATAGCATTATGTGGCACAGCACAGGTAGTTTATAATTTATATTTGGAAATGAAATAAGCATGTTTTCAAAACACCAAACAGTTCTTTGAATTAGTTTTTGACAATTGGTAGCCATAATGATTGTTCTTACGTAACCCAAGCTGAGACAACTGAAATGGCATTTCCTTAAATAATTAATAATATAACGAACTGTCACTAACTAATTGATTTCTTTGCAATGTACAAACCATTTATGACCGTAGAAGTCAAATGCTTATCAGAGGCTGAAAAGGCATACGAATAAATTCCATCAAAATCAACGGCAGGCAAAAACTCTCCGTGCGATTATTTGTGCTGAAGACTGTTTTTCCAAAACCCAAACCAATTATTTAACCGATGCGACCAATGACTAATTTGCAGCACTGTACGTGCGTGCGGATTCCGGCAAATTGACTGCCCGAATTTTCATGGTACGTAAAAAGGCATAAAAAAAACACATATAAACACAGACGCGCCAGGCGATACTGCTCGACTGGGTGATATCCTGTACACAGAAATCTAAAACTTTGGCTATATTCATGCAAACATTTGCACAGCCTTATATCCTATTTCACTCTCTGGGTCTAGGGTACACAAATAACGAATTGGAAAAAAGAAGAAGAAATTATATGTAAAAACAAATGATTTGGTAATTGGATTTCCAGAAATACAATTTGCTCGCATTTGTTGCTGACAGCTGCTACTCACAGATGCCCCGCCAACAAAATGCAATAAACAAGTGAACACTTCTCAATGCACGACAATTGATTTGAAAAGAAATATTTATCATTCGAATGCCACTTGACGTACTAGCCACATACCTTTTTAATATAGAAGCTAAGCAAGTGCTAATCAATGGAAGCACTTTAATTTCAGTGATAACTAAATTAGATTTCTGATATTTTAAGGAAATCAGTTCGAGTGTCATTCCGACCAAATGTTCAACAGCATGATACCTAAAGCTATTAATTAGTTAAATAAATTTGTGGAATTCATGTCATAGATATGCCCTATGCTGTATAAATTTATCCCAAATTTCTGTGTGTTAATGAGTAAATAAGGCTTCTATTTACATTCGTGCTTTGCATTTGGGGACAACAAATTTAGGTAAGCGCGCCTGGCTATGACAATTTGCGCATAAATTTTGATTTTCCATAATTTATGTTAACTAATCGTAACACATGGCGTATGCGTATTGTACTTGTCATAGGCTAACAATTAAAATGACTGCCAAAATTGGCGCAAGTGTCTGAGGGGTCGTGCAGAAACAACATCTGGCACTTGACTCTTGCTAATGGCAAGCTTAATTATAAATGTTCATCTTCACTTCTTTTCAATTTCAATTTTCAGCCCCGTTGCCCCGTTGTCAGCTGGCTGCAGCAGGTCGTCGCTCAATTAAAAGTGCATTAAGATATTGCACGGCAGGTCACAATGTTAGGGCGCCAGATGCTGGCTGATAATTTCTTGCCTGATTGCAGTCACTTAATGAAAGTGCTTAATTCGTGAGGGACAGATGCAGCAAATGGCATTGAATGTAGCTAAGAACAATTTCTGTGCACAAAGTTGCACAAAGTTGAAATGTGAAATCAGAAGAAACAAATTCGAAATCTTTGGCTAATTGGCAAAGAAATTATTCCACATTAACCTGATTATGTTCAGAATACATATTGTTCATGCACTAAAATCAAGCTTAAAGAGCACCTGGCGCTTATAGGATATTAAGACAGCAATAATTGTATGCATATACCCATATTTATAGCCTGATGCCATTTTTCGAGTACCTTTTTATTCAGTCTTTTGGAAGAAGTGAGCTGAAAAGCTCTTGTATAGCGTATAAGCCCCCTCGAATAACACTGATACGCCGTGTGACCGACGCTGTTGATGGCAGCATCGCGGCATTGAACAAATGAACAAGAAGAAGAAGAAATGTAGATGGCGTTGGCGGCGTTGGCGGCGATGGCCAAACCGGCCACTGCCGCTGGCACTGATAGCCAGCAAGGCGGCCTTTCAAGTGCAGCTGGCAAACGCGCCAACTGCAAAAGACAGCGCCAAACAGGGCAGCGAAAAAAGCAGCGCACTCATTTTTTATATATTTTCATTTTGCTGTTGGTTTTTTTTTGCTGTTTTTTTTGTTTTTGTTTTTTAAAAGGGATGTGGCTGAGATTCTTTTATTTTTTTTTTGTGCTCTTGCCAGTTGTAAGCAATTTTTGCAGCTCTCTTTCACTTGGGCGAAACATTTTAATTTAAATGTTAAAACGTGACGATAGCGCAGTCACTGGGGGATATGAGACTGTCTCCTGTGCCAAAACGTCAGTCAGTCAACGACACATGCAGCTATCCACATTATACCTTACCTTAACAAAAAGGTCACTTAAAATTTGGGTGCATTTTGTGCAACATAAATTAATTATTCATGTCAGAGCGCATTTAATTAGTGCTTTAGTTTAAACTAAAACAAATCGCTGCCGCTTTTAAGTTTGCTCTTCTTTTTCTGATTAGGACTTCTTTCGATTTGCTTGTAGGGTATTCATTTGTTTGTCTTGCTGTTCTTGCATGTTTGTCAATCTTGCTGCTATGTCATTGTCAGCTTCGTGATGTGGCTACTGTTGTTGTTGTTGTTGTTGGAGCTGTTATTGTTGTGGTTGTTATTGCTTGTTACTTGAGTGGATTACCAGCGATGTTCAGCATCCAATGTCCAAAGGGACCGAAGCAGCCCTTGGACAAAAAACTTGTTAAATTATGCCTGGTCAAAAATTTGAATGACGGCGCGCTTTGGTTGAGCCGAGGGCAAAAACGTGGATTCTGTCGAGCCGTGGTAACCACGGCTCAAGTGCCAATTAATAAGTTTCGCCATTGGCATGCGTAAAAAAGCCCAACAGCCACAACAACAACGACAATAACAACAACAACAACAATAAAAAGCAACCCCTTCGGTTGGCGGCGGACCGCGCCCGTGTCATGTGATTACTGTGTGCAGTTGATGCTGTTCAGTCGTTGGTCAGTCCTGTGTGCATGAATTATTCAAAGAAAAGGATATTAAATGCAAATACACACGTACACAAAAATACTTACATATACAGCAGCGTATATGTACATGCGTTTATTTGATGTCCCAGTGTTGTTTTTGCTGCTGTTTGCCGAAGAAGGATGAAAACACGCTTGAGTAATTGGAAGTTTTTACTGCCGCCTCGTTTGCCCCAATTTCGCGCATACTGTTGCTCCCCTTGTTGTTGTTACTGTTGTTGTTGTTGTTGATGGAGCAAATTTTAATTAATAATGTGCGGCTTCACACATTGCCATAAAATATTTATGCTGGCTTGCTGGGTACTTTAGACTCTCGTTAAAGTTTATTGGCAAAATTAAATTTGCCTGGCTGTTTAGCTGCTCTCTTCGTGTTCTTCATTTTTCGATAATGCCAAAAATCGTATAAAATTATGAAATTTGAGAGGCCAGAACAATCGTTCACTGTGATCACAAGCTTTTCCTACACTCAACCATCAATGCTTTTAGTTTTATTTATTTTCTCAAGTTTTATTTTAGTTGATTTTAAGGAAGCACAAGTTTCAGTTTCTGCTGTTGTTGCTTGAGAGTATTCGCAAGAAGACCCTTAATACATATTCCCATGGCCATTAATTGTATTTTAATTAGCAAAAATGCTGTCAGTATAAGTATCGGCAAGCGAGAATTGAACAATAAGTAAGTTTACATGTAGTAATATGCATTACGATATCAGGGTCGCCTCAAGTGCATTGTTGCCATTGTTGTGCGTTGTTCGTTGGCCTGTTGCTGTTTTTCTTTCACTTCAGACGGTGCTCGTTTCACTTTCCGGCTTTTGCCAACCCTCTGCACAGTGCTCTGGCACAAAAGGAAATTTTCAGCAACAATGTATGTTGATTTTAACTTTTCCATGTTGCAGTTGTTATTGTTGTTGTTGCTGTTGTGTGTGCTATTGTTGCTATCTGTAATGCTGCCGTTGTGCTCGCTGCAACGTTTAATTCAATGTAAACGTGTTAAAGCGTGCCCAGCATGCGGAAAAACAGAAAAACCATTTTCAATTGAAACAAATAAGGAATGGCTGCTCAACTGACGGACTGATGGGTACTACTTTCCAACGATTGATCCTCTTTCCTACTGGTCCGCTGCCTGACAAACACTGGCAGTAACATCATCATCATTATTCACACGCGTGAGGGCCCATCGACAACAACGGGAATGTTAAAATTCACTCATTTAATTTGATTTTAATTTCACCGGTTGCTCTGTGGATGCAGCGTGTGGCAAATGAAATTGAATCCTGGCCAATAATCAATCCGGTTTTAATTGAGTCAAAGCTCTTCGCCGGGCTTAACTTATATATTACATATATTAATTTTAAATCATTAAAAGTACCTATTGATTATATTATTTTTTTGCTGCTGTTTCAATACATTTCCTGTTCAATTATGAGATTATATTTGCTAAAGGCTATCATTTTGTTCTGTTCTTAAAATTAAATAATATTAAGATCACCGTTGAGTATTAACTGTTAAAATATGGTTATTTTTCATTCCGGCCAGACTTGATACACATAATACATAAAAACTTCATAATTGAATATTTCAACATTTCCAAGAATCAATCTCAAATGCTGAGCAGCTTAGAACTTTGTTGCGTTGAGATAGTTCCTATTGAAAATAGAAGTTAATCGATGTTTTTGCAGAGAATGTATTTACTTACCTTATTGTGGCTCGTATAGTTCGTCAAGGGAAGTTCAAGCTTTAGCGACTTTTGATTCGGTTCCGTTCTGGTTTCAAACAGCACTTTTGTGACGTTCTCTATAAAATCAGGGCTTACATTACCCGAAGCAATGCACAAGAGCTGCAACTGTTGGCATTCCCCTATGACTTTTAGCAGGGCAGCAGAAATTTCAGTTCTGCTAGACATCCAAATGCTCAGCTCCTGCAGCTGCTTCAAATGCGACAGCATCTCCACACTTTCGGCTGTCGAGCAGAAGCACTTCAGCTGCCGCAGGCCGCACTGTCGGATAATTTGCACTGTCTCCTCTGGGCTGAGGGTGCCTCCATCGATCTCCAGACGTTGTAGCTCTTGCCGCCGCGCAGCCAAATCAGTAAGCAGTGGCACAAAGGAGCCGCTGCGTCGAACCCCAAAGTGCATAAGTTGCTTTAGCTTAGGCAGCTTAGCTAGTGGCTTGTAAGCGGATGCCTCTGCCATCATGCCAAATTGAAGCGTTTCCAGATTGGCACAATATGGAACTATATCGGACAGATTACGCTGGACACAGTTGTAGCCGAGGTGTAGATGGCGTAGATTGAGATTCGATTTGCAGCACTTGGCGAGAACTGGAGCGCTTATTTGTGTTATACGCATATGCAGTTCCTCAAGATGGTTAAGGTGGATTAAATTATCATAGGTAAATTCTGCAATAGAAGACTAGATTTAGTGGCAAAAAAGACCGAATGAGAGAGAGAGAGGCTCGCTTCCAATTTCACTTACCATCTCTGGCATGCAATTCTAAAACTTTGAGCTCAGTTAAGCCCTTAACGGCAGCTAAAATTTTTTCAAAGGGTTTTTCAATTGGAATGCAGGTCCATTCTTTTGACTTTTTTACTATTAAACGTTTCAAGCTGATCATGCCGGTTAATGTTAGGCAAAGTATGCTAAAACAATTGATTGGTGCTACACATCCATAATTCCGAAATGTTCGCGACGTATCAAAGTACTCCAAATCGATGATTAGACTCTCGACTGATTCGCGGTAAATACAGAATCCGATCAGCTGTTGCCTTGAGCTGTTTTCATCTAGCGTAAACTGGCGAAATTGTTTTCCGGCAGACGCTATAAACACCTCACGAAATCGACAACAGACTTGGGCAAAACTGATTCGATCCTCAGCCGTCAGATAAATCAGCAAATAACCAAGGCAATCATCTTTTAAGTCCAAAATATTCAACGCGCTCATTGTTGCCTACCCGCGTATTGGGCTTTGAATGCGAGACTGAATTCGAAATGTTAGTAAATAAATATAACATCGCAATGCTATCAAAGGCCACGTATCTGAACCGCATGACTAATCAATAGCTATTCACACAGCGATTAGATGCGTACCTTAACGAGTTTGTTTGTTGCAGTTCGGCTCGGCAGACAGTTAGCAAGCACGTTTAGTTAGTCTGCCATTTCACAATATAATTAATATATTCGTTTTTCCCCAACAACAAAATGCAATAAAGTCTGGTATGGTAATTGCTGGGTATAGTCTATAAGTAAGAATTGCAATAATAAAAAAATAATAATGATGTTGCTTACTCACGCTGATAAAATTTATTAAAATTTTTGCTGCTCACTAAATCTAGCACACGTAAAATTTGAGACTTAAAATTTGAATTAGATCTATTATAAAGGTCTGTCCTATGCTGTGCGTAAAACTAGCCTGATGCATGTTTCAAGTACCTATTTTTTTATAGCACGCATATTCCGATCGATCTTGGGATCCAAGTAAATCGTGCGCAAGCTGTCGAACTGCGAAGCCGTTGTGTAATTTACTTTAGACGGCAATTTGAACGGCTCTAACTTGAGTTCTTGAGTTGCTTTGTTGATGGCTGAAATAGTAGGTTCAATGGATGGTCCTAAGACTGGAACCGGTTTCTCCCAACTATAGGGCATTCGGCACCGCTTGTTGTTGATACTTTTACCAGATCGGACCCACTGGAAGCTGCTTCTTTTCAGGCTCACGGTGCTGATGCCGGAACTGTGGACGCTAGCTGAGCTGTGTGGCTTATGGCTGGAACCCGGCTTAATACTGTCGGTTTCGGATTGTATCGTTGTCTTCTTTTCAGGCATTATCATTCTCGGCACTGGCAGCTTTGGATTTTGTTGGACTGGTTCCGGTGTATCATAATCAAAAACGACATTTTGCAAGACGATAGCGTCGTCCAGCAGGGTCGGCACGAACAGCTGCGGTTCCCGGCCAGGACACTCGACCAATACGACGCTCTGGTCTGCCAATAGCTTAAGGGAAAATTTCAACTGATTTGGTTTGAAACGCATGACTTTTTGGCCAAATTTATTCTCTTTACAAACTTTATTTTGGAATTTCACATTACTGGACAGAAAGATAAATCATAGCAATATAGTATATACATTAACATTTCAATATTTCAATATTGAAGTTTAACGCCTGGTTATTTCTGAGCACAATATGATTCGAATTGAGTCTAGAAAAAGGGCGGAACGATGGAACTTCATTTAATTTACGCGTCGCCAGCTTCTTTGGAATAGTGTTTGACATGCCTCTTCTTCTGCTTAACCGGGGTCAACTTTTCTTTCTGTTCCATCGGTTCTCTGTGGGCTTTTTGCGATTTTGCCTCCTGACTTCCCTTATGTTCTTTTTGTTCTTTTTGTTCTTTTTCTTCTTTGTAAAATAGATGAAGTGGATTAACCAGAAGCTTGGATAAACCAACAGCCTGGGTGGCCAATGTAGCGGCCATAAAGGCAGCTGTATTTTTGGTAGAAGTCCGCTCCTTTTTCGGTTTCCGAGATACACATTGCGCCAACTCGCCAGCGCAGACGCGCTTCATGGCAACGCAATGACTAGAAATTTGAGGCAGAAATATCTCAGATTCGTAGCCATTACATTCCACAAGCACCACGTTTCCGTTCGAAATGAGCTTTAATTCGAAGCGTAGCTTGGAGACGTCACCGGCTCGCGCAATGCTGACTGAAGGCAGCTTCTTTGGCGCCAAGCCCGCCGTTGCTGTGGTCAGCTTGCGGTTCGCCAGACGCTGGCATCGATGCAACGATGTGGGAGAATGGAAACTTAATTCACTAGCCCGAACTCTGGGCTGCCGGCTGCATATAACATTCGTTAAAGACACTCGGCCGTGTTGCAGTACTGGCACAAATATTTCAGACTCATAGCCACGTGCTTCCACTAGGACGACACTCTTGTCCGCCAGCAACTGAATGTGAAATCTAATATGGCTTGTGGTTGCAGAGGATTCGCACATACTTATTAGACACAGGATCGAAAAATGCTGTCAATCACAACTGGAATTTGAAACGTTCAAAGGTTTTTAAACTGAAATTGGCTATGCCCCTTTTTTCCGTATAATCATTAATAGAATTGTTAATCTCTCTACGGCGAAACTTAGATTTAGCATCTATCCAAATGTTACTATTTTTTTTTTTTTTAATTTTGTGTTTTCAGGAAAATGCTGTTCACTTTTGATTGTATTGTCAAAGAGTGCTGGCAAACTAATTTAACTAAGTTAAACAACATTTCTTAATCCAGCTAACATCAATTGACAGGGATTGGTAGTCGATTAATGGTGAAGAGAAATTCTAATTATGTATGTATGCAAATGCAACTATTTTCAGTGGCATTGGCAACAATTGGCATTGGGTTAACCTCTAACTGGCATTTAATATGGCCTCCTGGACATCTTAATTTAATAGCCCCAATTTGCGTCAGTTTCCCACGAACAATCCAATAAAGAAAGACACAAACCTGCCACGTTAGGCTATCAGCGATGCACCAGAATCCAATACCAAGCATTTTTCCTAATTGTATCAAAGAGCACCGAATTTATGGCCCAACTATTTAATGTCCGACTTTCTGGCCGTGCACCGGCTGTGTTTTATGTGCCCCAAGTAAATGGAGTTGTGGGGGGCAGGAGCATCCTTGATGGCAAAAAAAAAAATGAAACCAGCAGCCACTTTCGGCTGGCCAGCATCGTTTCAGTTGGTTGGCTTGGTTGGCCAGCACAGCGAAGTATAAAAAATTCAATTATAAGCGTTTATAATAATGTGGGTGTGGTTACACCTGGTTCGCACACTATTTCATTCAGTTTTTGAGTACAAGATATCTAGAAATGTTGTTGGTAAGCAGTTCGGCATTTAGTAGAAGCTTGAAGTCTTGATTAGTTTATTTTTACTGCAACTATTATCATAAGATGCAAACAATTTAAATCAGCGAAGGAAATTCGATGGAGAATAGCCAACAGTCAGTACCTTTCAATTTCAATTTAACTGTCACCTAAAACAAATTTGATTTTTTGACCTAATTTCTTTTTGTATAATGTACATTTTTATGTTAAATTGATTCGCAGTGTTTAACATGCATTTTTATTTTGATTTGTGTTTTCTCATCGGAATTGACGTTGATTTGCGCCTATCCCAATGGTAAAGGCCCAGAATGATATTTCAACGCCTGTCGGCTGGCCAAGTAATTTAATCTGACAAGAGCCAAAAATAAATAGGCTTAATGTGTGAAGAAGCAGCAGCGTGTTTGTTTCCAGCTGCCCCAGAGTTATATACATATATATATATTTGTATATATGCGTTTGTCTGGCTTCACTAGAATCGCCCCAAAGACATGAGACTAAGCACAAAATTTGCATAAGAAAGTGTGAAACATTCTACATAGCTCAGGCTGTGTATGTGTGTCGGTGTGTGTTTTGTGGGTATGAGTTTTCCGTAAGCCGTTTTTGCAGTTTTTGACAAATGACTTAAAGCCTTAAGGGTGCACAATTTTGAAAAGGGTTAAAGTAATTTGTTGAGACTGTTAAATATTGAATTTGGACCAACAACAAGGAAACAAAAACAAATACATAATAAAAATGAAATATATTCGTAAAAACAGGAACAAGGACGACACGATGTACATTTTTCGCTTAATATTGCTTAAGTGAAATAATAAAAAAATATTCTCATATGAATATTTATAGTTGTCCTGAAAGTGACAATCAAATTTTTATAAACCATTGAGTTTCTGGGTCTAAATAAAATTATGCCTATTATTGCCTTATAAAAGTGTGCCTACGAACAACAACAAAGTGTGCCTCTCTTCCTCCATTGCTCTTAAACTAGATAAAATATGTCCACGAAGAATATTTTGTCTTAAGCAGGAAACTCAAATGTGTGTATAAAAACACAGATCTTCATGTGTTAAACGAGAGTCTAAGTGTCAAACTTAAAGCCTCAAATTCTTATATTAGTTGTTAGTTAATATGAAGGGACAGCCAGGTCAGCCTGTCTTTACGTCTATCCGTATCAGAGCGAGTTACTGTTCATCGATAACTTGTCCCATATCGAAGTAATCGATAAATCGATCAAAAACCTTTTTATAATCAGCAAATTTGATATGTTCCAGTATAATATATACGGATCAAGTATCTCTAATTTATTGGCTAGCAGAAGGTTCAGGGAATCCTCTAGTCAAGCACTTCCGATAAGCGCACTTTTTATTGTATTGATTAGATATTTTTCTTTTTGCCCAACGCATATATATAAAAGTATGGTTGATAGTGAAAAGGTATATAAAATTGCATATGCTTGACGATATGTAATTTATATAAAACACATTTTGTTCGGTGCGTATTCCATATGTGCATGATATGACTGCCTTTAGCAAATCTTGCTGTGCAATGTGACTTATGCCTTTGATGTACGCTCATAAGATAGCAATTTCACACCCATACTTGTACACACACACGCATAGCCGTACAAGCACACACACACACACACACGGATAAGTATCAGACAGAATGACATACTTTACCTACTTAGAGCAAGAAGAGCAAAGGAAAAGTTTCATGTACAGTTTCAGTTTGGTTTTATTGCGCCAACTTGGGCCGATGACAATGGCAGTCGAGGTGTGTGTTTAATCCGGAAACTTATTTATGTATGTTCGCACATATATGTATATATATATACATATATATTTTAATGTATGTATGTTTCTTTCCGGTCGTTTGGCTTACGCATTTCTCGTATATGTGTAATCGGTCCAAGGGATGAACTGAGCGACAAGACGGACACTTTCTTATGACACGACCGCGCACACTTTCACTTTACATAAGCTCTTTGTTGTGCTTACTGGCTGACATCGCCTCGGAGTGTCTGAGTATGTGTGTGTGTGTTTCTGCGAGTGTGTTGACAAACACTTGATAATTCCTTGCATACACGCACTTTGCCTTGGATATGCTCGCATATACGATAAGTAAGTGCGAGTATCTGCAAGATAATCCTATGTATCCACTGGGCTTGTGAGGCCATCTGCCAGTTGCTTGTTTGTGGCTGCCCGTAAGGGTCTCTTGAATTATTTTAAATTGTTTCTGCCATGCATTGTGATCGAGTTTTTATGTATTCATATGCGTGCACATCTATAAGACGAAATAAAATAAAAATAAAATAATGGTACCCTTCTTTGCATTTGCCAAAGGCCCATAAACTGTGATTTAGCGTCTTGGATTCGGATTTCTATCAGAATTTAATCTTTCAGATGGTTAAACGGCCAATTTAATGGGTTGTGGGTCGATTGTAAAGAAACTTGGCAGCTTTTCATTCAAAAAAAAAAAAGAAAAAGAAAACTTTCCGAGAGTTTTATTTTCTATAGATAGGCTTACATTAACGCTAAAAAGGATATAATAAAGTGTGTGCAAATATATGTTCCTTTTCAGTTTATTCTATGCTCCATTCTTTATTTAGTTGCCGGGCGTTGGTCGGCTCCTTTGTGGCTGACGTTGAGGACTTGCGCTGTTAATTAAATTAACGTGCAAATGGCTGAAATTACTTTCTGAAAAGTTTTTTTTTTCTGTTTGCTTAGCCCGGTTGGCAGAAGGCTTTGGGGACGAGCCATAGATCAAAGCAGCTCGCATGCTGTGCACCGCATCACATCTCGGGTTGCACTTGTGCATGTGGGTTCTGTGTGCTTTGTCAGCAGGTGGGCCAGCGTGTGTGCCCGCTTCGGTATTATAAAGTAGGTCAGTTGAGGTATATATGATGCCAATAAAAGTTAATGTGTCCTTGTGTGAATGGCGTATGGAATGCCGGTATTTGCTCCAGCTTGTTGATATTTTTTAATATTTATGGAATTTTAAAATGACAGTTAACATATTTACGTGGAGCTGCGCCCAGTTGAAATTGTATCATTTATTTGAAATCGGCGCGCAAAATATATCGTCAAACACTATCAACTGTTATCAGCTATCCAAATACCCTGTATTTATTTAAATGTTCTGTACTTTTTATTGTCAAGTTATCTTATCCCTTGATAGTAAGGTCAAAAATCATACATATATATAAAACAAACTTTTTGCTGATTGCCTATTTCCTGTTTTTGCAATCTTATCTATAAGAAATTTGTCAGATAAAGTCAAAATATCAGATAACTTGTCATTCCTCTATGAAAAACAAATGCAGTATATTTTTGACACTGCTAAAATGCAGAGCTACGAATGCACTGTAACAATATTAGACCTCAACGATTATTGTTTGGAGTCAATATTTAATTATCTGGAGGGAACAGATCTTATTAATTTTGCAGAGACCTGTAGCCGGGTTCGGCAGGTGTTCAAGCATTGGGCCAGCTTTCGTTATGTCAATTTCTTTATTGTTGAGGAGATTTCTACATATGAACTCAAATTGCTGTCGGTCGTTGCAGAAAATATTAAGAAACTCTGCATCTATGTTGATGATTTGAATGTTTTCCTGTCACGGAACTATGGCAAAAACAAAAACTATTTTTTTAACAAGTTCTGTATGTTAATAAAAGATATGAAAAGTCTGCAAAGTTTTGGTCTGTGGCAGTATAAAAAAAAAGTTTGTTCAAGAAGTATATTTTTAGCTCTTCAGAAGAAGAATTTGAAAAACTTACAAATTTGCGCTCAGAGTAAGTACATGTGCCCCTTAGATAAAATCTAGCTATATCTGAGTATGTTTTTTTAGAATGCGAAGCAGCTGCTCTGCGACCCTTCACGAAACTGGAGATGCTATCATTGAACGTGCAGCTGAGCTCCAAGGATTTGTTGAATTCGTGCCAGTCAATGAGACATCTGAGCGCACTGCACTTGACGGATCGAGTGGGTAATTCAACCCTGAAGGATATCATATGTCATTGCCCAAACTTGCAAGAACTTAGTTTCTATATAAAAACCAAGAAAAATACTCTTAACTGCATAGGATCAAAAGGTGCAGGCGTAGCAGATATATTTGGTGCCTTAGCGGACAGGGCCAAGTGCTTGAAGTCGTTAATGGTTCACGGCATAATATGCGATCTGAACCAGGCCAAGCAATTGGCTCGAATCAGCACCTTAAGGATACTCACCTGCAGCTTTAGCAGTGCGGATTGTGTATTGGCTTTGAGATATCTCACTCTTTTGGAAGAGCTGCGAATTTCTTTTAAATCTGACGTTAATATTTCTTCGATATATTTAGATATGATTAGGGAATGTACTCAGCTGTATTTGTTAAGCATAATGGATTTTAATGTACAACCAGATTTCGCATTTAAAGCGGCTGAAGTGCGTAAAGAGTTTCTAAACAGGCGACCTTTGGTGTTGCTTATTTATGGACATCGAAATTCTACAATCGACCCAACTGCAGCGGCAATAGATAAAAAGCTTGTGATATACCGCAGCATGACTCTTCAAGAGTTACTAAAATTGCGAAATATGTGCAATTGGTCTATTATTGCCATATGATCTGTTCCTCTTCGTTAATCTGATACGAGTGGGATGATGTCAACAAAATTATGTGTGATATATAACAGATATGTGTGATAATTCATGTGGGATGCATGGAGAAATGGAGAAATAATCTTGTTACAAACAAATTTATTTGTCATACAATCATACCTGTATTCCCCTGAATGGAAATTGGAGCTCAGCTCTGATTATTGATGCGCTCATTTGTGCGTATATTATTTGGTACTTATTGTAAATTACGTACTTATTAAGTTGATATCAACTGAATACTTGTTTCACAAAATTGTAAAGATATAAGCGCTAAAATTAAATTTAATTCCAATTTAGATAACGCTTGCGCAGCCCAAGTTTCAAAATTTCCTTAGGGCACAGCGCAAGGAAAAACTTCAAAGTTAAAATCATAAAAAAAAGAACATCACAATAACAACAAAAACATTTTCAATTATGCTAAACTTCGAACTGTTAATTAAATCTGTCAGAAACAATTAAGCATAATGTTCACTTAAAAGCCACGAACAACGTTTATAATTAGAAATAATGAAGTAAAAGAAAAAATACAATTATTTACCGGGCAAACGAGTATTATCTCTACAGAAGACATTGTTATATCAATGTCAAGTGATGCGGTTGACTACGAGAGACCCTCTACACAGTTCAAATATAATCGTACAATTCTACTCAACAGGTTCGGTATATACAAAGCTGATACACACTATTGGCTATTGTGCAGGGTATCTGGGTCTCAATCCAAGTGCAAACAATGCGATTGCGTCCCAAGAGACTGACAAATGAAATGTCTACGCAACAAAATAGCAACTGTCGGAGTCGGAAATACGTCAAGTGTGAGCGCTGAAAGCCTTCGATGAGATGAGTCCTGAGATGAGCTGGGTGGCCGGCTAGTGGATAAAGATGGCCAGGAAACGGCCGGGCGACAGCTTCCTCAATACCACCATTGTGTGCCGTGGAGTGGAGCGTTGACAATAACGGAAATTATTGTTTCTATTCTTATTTTCTAACATTGTGAGCAGCGTCTGCTGTCAGCCAGCTTTTCAGCTAAGATTACGACAAATATTGCCAAGCCTTGTGTGTCTGGACTCTGTAGCATTTTAAAGATTTAAAGTCGTAACAAAAAACGCCTATCTGGAATATAATAATTAAAGCCGGTTATTTGTGCTTATATATGTATTGCAAACATTCCTTAGTGAACAACTTTTTGTGCCGATAGTTTGGGAATTACCAAATAATCATTATAATCAAAAGAATAGAATGAAGGCAGAGCCCAAATCATCAAAACTATATATTTTTATACCCTTGTCATGAAATGTTTAACGCATAGACGGATACGTCTCTAGAAAAGCATCAACAGCCGAGTCAATATAGTCATGTTCCTCTGCCTGTTGCAAACCAGGCCTTTTAAAGTTTTTAAAGTCATCATCTTGAAATTTTCTGTTGCTGCTGTCATATACATATATTGGAACCGGCCACATCGAAAAGCTACATTATCGATGGAAAACTCTTTTATTTATCAAGGTATCTTACCCAAACTAATCATATAAGTTTAATTATGCTTCTCAAACAGCATGGAAAATCATCTCAACACAGGACTACTATTTCATATAGTTGCCATATAAAGATCGGTGGAATATAGATTAGAGTGGCATATTATCCTGATCTTTATCATTATTTTCATTATTTTTTTCTGATTTTCATCAAACACAGCATGTAGAATCTTTACTATTCTTACATATCTGAAAACAGCAAGGCGAATGTCTACAAGGGTATCAAATCTGCGGCTTGTGTGTGCTTTTATACATATAAATATGTTCTTCTATACAAATGCAAGCCAGGTTTATCTGGCGCATTAAAAAAATAAAGTATTTGAAATTAAGCCTTACTACGCGTTTCTCATACATTCAAGTTTCCTACCTTGGTTATATTGTTAAGTTATGAAGCTGTTTATAAAAGCTCACAATATTTATCCCTACTTATATTGTTGCCCTAATTTCAGCTCTAGCACTCTATTCATAGTTTCGCTCTTTCTCCCATCTTATTCCTATTTTGTCTGTACCTTTAATTTTACTATAATACTTTGAAATTCTTTTTTTTCAGTAATGCCAATAGTATGTTGTGTGTATGCAAATTTCAGGTAAGTGCATATTCACTAATTCATTATATAAATATTAATAGGAAGCTAAGTTGACAATTGTGATTATCTCCTATTCTTACATATTTACTGATTTACTTTTTTGCTCAGACATTTCTGCATAGAAATTAAAAATGAATAGGTAAACGTATAGGTTATCAATAATTGTGTCAAACTTGTAAATTTGCTCGTATTAACTTTATGTGATTTCAAATGTAGTTTCTACCGATGCAAAAAATTTGATATATTAACGAAAACTTTGTGCTAGTTGCTTCTGTGGAACAGCGTTTACGATTATGAATAAAGTTTGGACAATATTTATTCGATTATATAAGAGCTAAATTTTCATATCGCTTGTTATTATGGCTTATAAAAACTTGGCAAAAGTGGGATAAAAAACCGTGGACATAATCGAAAAGCATAAGTTGCATATATTTAAAAAAAAAACAAGTAAGAGGTTCTAGTCGGGAGCTTTCGACTAGGGGATACCCTGAACCCTCTTCTTCCAACATCAAATGCATATATATATTCTATTTTAGAAGCTATACGTCATGTTTGGTGACTCTAGCTCTTATTACTTACCAAAATTGCCCAAAAAACAGGATTTCAATATAGATTTTTATCGATTACTTGGAAACGGGGCAAGTTATCGATTATCGCAGACAAACTCGATCTGCGCAGGCACTAGGAGGACCTACATCATAAATATCTCTAGCTCTTATAGGTTCTGATATCCTTGCGTTCATACATACGGACAGACGGACAGGACTAGATCCACTCGGCTATTGATGCTGATCAAGAATATATATACTCTATGGGGAGATGCTTCCTTCTGCCTGTTACATATATTTACATTTTGCACAAATACAATATACCCTTTTTACCCATTTTCAATGGGTTCAGGGTATAAAAATAAAGTCATTTCTGGAAAGTTCACATATATATAGGAAAATTGAATATTCTTCATGTAAGGAAAAGACTTTGTCAGCATTTGCCATTCATTAATTAACTTGTAGTTCACAGGAGCTGGAAGACAAATTGCTCATGTTGCGGTTGCTGTTGTTGTTTGAGAATTTCTTGAAAATTGCATTGTTTGACAAAGAACCAACTGTGTGACCTTTTGATAGTTTATAGTCTTAACTTATGTTCATTGCCCTACGGCAGGGACAGCAGCTAAGCCATAAGGAAAACTTTCCGTAAAGCCTTGTTGACTCTTGAACTTACTTGACAGCCTGCAGCTGATGCAGATTTTTGTCAACAATATTGGGGCAGAAACAGGGATATTTGCAAATTTTTTGGATTTTGTGCGAATTTCTTTGACGTTTCATGCAAACTTCTTGAAGTGTTTCAATTATGGCTTGAAAACTTGTTGACATTTATTGAACACTGCAAAACAGGGCAATGTTTGTCCTACCAGGCGCTTGTCAAGTGTCGCACCACTAACACACACAGCCTCACACACACACACAGCCTCACACACACACACACACACACACACACACACACACACATACACACTCACCCAAGCTGGCATTAGATATGCCCTATGACAGTCTGGCTCAATAAAAGGACATTTAGTTTGGTATCTTACGTTGTTGTGAAAGTCAGCGTGTATTGCGTAGGATGTCGGCCCTTCAAGCAATTTTATTCCATGAAAAGGACTTGCAGTAGTTCTCAACAAGTTTTCTGATCAAATTTAATAATAATATCAAACACTAAGCCAATTTCAGCTTGAGCGCGTTTTGCTCAAAATAATTAACATTTTGCTGGTAAAAGCTCGAAAGTATTTCTATTTTTGTTGCAAACATATTGTATTAGTTTGTTAGTACATGTATTAACAATTTGTAATTTATTCAAAACCCATTTTTCTCGTTTTATACGAAGGGCATTTATCAACAACAATAGATTCTAGCCCAAAAGATATGTTAGACGCAATAATTGCTTGGAAAATTATATTTAACCGTGAGCTAAAGCTTTGTAACTCATTCAAAACCAAAACCGTTTTGTTCCGCTCAAACTAGACATATTTAATCCAATTAATGCACAAGGACAACGCGCCGTTCCTTTTGAGACTTAATTGGTTTACGGTAAAGGTACAGGTATCATCAACCCAGTCAAATTGCCGTCGGTGCCCGGTTTGAAGTTTCAGCTTGTGGCCCCACTCACGGTCGGATATATAAAATGGCTAATTGGTTTTCCAGAAAGGTAACATAATTGGCATGTGGCTAACGACCAATCAGAATGTCTAATTGAATGTGCGCCAAAGGGTCTTAATGTCTTTTATACACTTGTAAGCTGATAGAAGGTCGACTGGAGCGCCGCATTGACACTATTCACTTTAAATTTGTAAAATTATGCCGAGTCAACTCACCATCGATTGCCTATTTCCACGTGTTTTGTTTGTACTTTAATATTCCTTTCCCATTTATCATAATGCTAGTAACAATGTAACTCTTCAATCAAAAAAGATAAACCTTTTTATGTTAATTTCAAACTACCACAAAAAAATAAATCAAATAAATTAACTTCCTTTTTTATGCATATATTTTTGAACATGCATAATTTTTAAACAACTTAATCATACGCCTCGTCACATTATTATTATAAGCTTGTATAAGCATATATAAAATAATATGTTGGAATATGAACAAAGTTACTTTCTGTGAGTTTCGTGAACCCAACGAACCGACAATAAAAAGTTAATAATTTCTCGCAAACTGCATTAATATTTATGCTTTGCGAGGGAAATTAAATATTGGAATTTAATACATAATTAGTATGGCCTCTGGCCTTTGCTGTACGACCGTTACGAGCACTCGTAATGCATTTATATAAACTCGCTGCGTGTATTCACAGATACAAAATTGCATCAAGTAGTGTTGTACAATTTACATGTACTTGGGGCTTGAATAAAGGGCTTGCAAATGATAATTGTTGCACTGAACTTCGGCAATATTGATTACTGTTACTATTGTTATTATACTTATATTTGAAGTGGTTTAAGCAATTAATTAATCCATGTATAGTATGTACGCATAGCTGTACGCAACGTCTATACAATTGACAAAGAACTAGACTAAGTCAATGCGATAAAGCCAAAAAAAGCAACAACAACCACACAACAACAAAAAGACAACAAAAGTGCTGACATTGTCTGATTGGCAATTGCAATTCACCAGACCACAAAACAAAGTGCAATACGTTTACTTGGCCAGTTCTTGGCGACTGTCGATTGTTTGATTTGATTTTCAGTTCAGGCTCAGTTGGTAAACTCACAGCAAAACTGAATGACGGGCCGTATAGTATGTCGTTTTGATTCGTTTGTTATTTGTTTAGCACTCAATGACAAGCACTTTGGTAATTTATTTTGCACGTCGGCATATTTAATAGGCAGGCAGGACTCTCGACAGCTGACAAATTATGCCAATGTGGGCTGAGCGCTAATGCACTGGGCCTGAATAATTGATTTGGCATTGTGTCTGCGTTTTCAGTGCGTGAATGAGACACATAGTTTTGTTGTTGTTCGGCTGGCATACAACATGTCACGCTGCGTATACGCAATTTGCATATAACGCATCCGCCCTGAGCTACTTTCATCGTACACGCAGAGGTAAACTACAAACTGATGCCTTTTGTTTATTACCTACCAATTGCAATTTGTAGCTGACGAAAAATTTCAATTACCGCCCAATTGCGAGGGTTACTCGTTAAGTTGCAGAGCAGAAATGTAACTTATATTATTTGTATGGCATTTTTAAGCAAATCTATCTAGTTTTGAGAACCTAAAAGCCCTTTAACTGTCATAAGATATTAAGACAGTCTGACTGCTTGTCTTTCCCAACGGTAAGCGAGCATTTTAGTTTCCCATGCGTAATTGATTTAATTATTACTCAAGCCGCAGAGCAGCTGACAAAATGTCTTGTCGGGTAAAT